TGGAGCACCGTAAAACGGGGAGCCATATACTGTGAAATCTTGACCGTATACGACGCAAATGTAAGCATCGTACGGTCCGTAATACTGCGCCCATTATACGGTCCGTATTGTTCGACCTGGGTACTATCTTGACATTAGTGTAAAAGTTATATTTTTGTTCCAATACACTACTCATTTCAACTTGTCATACAATTGCTTCCAACAATTCTTCTTCTCATTCGTCACCTGAAATTTTATCATCAAGTTCTACCATGGATGCACCTTCAATTTACACTTCAGAATTAATTAAATCACTATTAAAAAGTGATAATGAGAATTATAAAGTCGTTCCAAATAAAAGTCAACGCGTTTCAGCTGCATGCTGGAAGAATAGGGGTATGGGTTTTCCAGCTAAAAAATTAAATAATAAAGATGAATTTACTGTTATTCCTGGCTTTGCATCATGTTCCAAATGTTTCGAAACTTATCGCTATGTTAATTCAAGTACCACACATATTAATGCTCACAAATGTCTTAACTTATTACCATCAGATCAAACATCGCTTGATCATCATTTTCCATCTAAATCACTTGCTCATCAAACAGAACAACGAACAGTTCCAATAACAAAAGCTATTGCAAGAAAGAAAGAAGCAATGAAGAAGGTGTGTGCTGTATGGATCGCGCATTCGATGCGTTCTTTTAAAGTTGTTCAAGATCCAGGTTTTAAAGCTGTAATCGGCGAATGTCTAAAGATTGGTAAGAAATATCTCCATTATTACAGAGTCGTTTTTAATAAATTTCGAAATTATGTTGATTGTAGGCCGATAGCTCAGCCATGATACTACATTATCTTCTGATGATATTATTAGTTGTGATCGAACAATTAAAAATGAAATTAACAAATTAGCTGCTAATGAAAGATTATTACTGAAGGATCGGTTGGTTGAGGCCGTAAAGTATGGTGGTGTCTGCATTAGTCCAGATATTTGGAGTGACCAATATCGTAAAATCTCATACTTAGGTGCAACAGCTCATTTCGTTGGCAAAGATACTAAATACTATTCTGTTGATTTATTTTGTACTGAATTTACGGCAAGGAAAAAAAGTGGTGAAAACATAATGAAAGTATGTAAAAAAAAATGAATATATTATTTCTTAACGCATTATCTTTATTACTATAGTTATTACGCACGGAATTAGCATCGTTTGGATTAGAAAATTATTTATCTGATATTATATTTGTTACTGATCGTGGTGCCAATTTCATAAAAGGTTTAAATGGTTTCACAGTGCTTTTTTGTACGGCCCACCGCTTGACAAAATATATTAAAACATACTTTTTATCAAAACTTTTCGAATGAAAAAAAGACTGATAGAGTTACAACGACAACAAAAACTGTTATCGAACGAATAGAAAAAACACCTAATAAAACAACTAAATATAGAACCACCATTGAAGCATCACCAGAAATAGATTCTGAGGTCGAAATGACCGATGATGAAAATACTTACGATACGGATGAATCTGAAATTACTGATGATGACGATATTGATTATTCGAGTATTACAATTTTTAATTTACCAACATCGGCAAAAAAGGTTTTAGATACTATTCGTTATTGCAAAGCCTTGGTAAAATATATTAAAAAGGTAACAAGCAACGTAATAACCCAATAACATAAAACTGTCTCTAAATATATCGTTATTATTTAGGCCAATCTCAATCGTCATATTCAACTTGAACATGAAAAAGAAGATTATAATCCAACAGCCGACGAAGATGAAAGCAAAAAGCAATTTTCAAAATTTACCACTCTTCATCAATGTTCAGCAATTCGATGGCTTTCTTTACATGATCTACTATCAAGTATTCAAAAGGCTTATCATCCATTAAAACAAATTTTAAATGAAAAACAAGAGTCATCACGACTCGAGAAAATCAATATAAATGTTGTAGCTCAATTAATTAAATTTCTAGATCCATGGAAATATGTAATGAATGAAATTCAACTTAGCAATTCACCATCATTATTTATAATTTTACCTTGTATCGCTTATCTGAAACAACAAATTACAAAAAGTGAACGAACAATGAGAGGTGGTGAGTTTCTTGGTATTAATTATATAGTATATATTCTTATAATTTCTTTTCTCATTTTCTGTTTAGGCATGAGTTTTTTCGCCAAACGATCAATACAATTATTAGAATCCATGTTTAAAATTGAAAATTTGCATGTTATGGGAACATTTTTACATCCAAATTATAAACAACTAAAGCATGCTACACAAATACAAATAATTGAATGCCATAATTCATGTCGATTGGCAATTCCACCATCGTCTACTTCAACATATTCAGTATCTGATGATAACAATGAAATTAATGAGCCATTAACAAAGAAACCGAAACGCTTTTTAGAATCCTTAATGGATGATATAACTCCACCACAAGTATCACAAACCAAGGATGAAGTCGATGTATATATTGATTTACAACTGAAGGATAATGAAATTTATACAAATCCACTTACATTTTGGCAACAACATGAATATACGTTTCCTCATTTATCCAAATTTGCACGGAAAATCTTTGCTGTTCCATGCAGTTCTGCGGCAGTAGAACGGGAATTTAGTGCTGCTGGACAATTAGTTACACAACGTCGTTCTAATATCGAGCCTAGCACAATCAACGATATTCTTTTTCTTCGTTCAATAGAAAATAGTAAAAGACTTATATAATATTATGATTATTTTTTGTCGTCTTACTTTATGTAATCTTGTGTTTTGCTATGTTCAATGTGTCAATGATGTTCGTATGTGAATAAAAAATTAAAGAATAAATTTGATAATTATCGAATATATATTGCAATGTTAATACAATCAAACCGAACCGAAC